ATAATTATTGTTTCACCCTAATAATTAATTATAGGTTATATAATATACTATATTATACTATATACCTATACTATGTACTTAATATAGTATAGGGTTATTTATTATATTATATATAGTATATATATAATATAATAATATAATATAATATATATAATATTTTTTTGTTTGATAGATGCGATTGAAAAAAGATTTCAAAGTCTTATAAATGAAGGAAGTAAGGCCCCGGTGTTAACAGATTCTTCGGACATTGATTTACCTTCTTATTACGATCCAGACAAATTTTATCTTGGACAACAAACATTTTACAATAACATCTTTACAATGATGATTTCTAAATTTTCCGGATTAATAACATTAATAACAATACCTAGCATACTTAACATTCTCGATTTCACTAAACATCAAAGTACACCTTGTATGGCTTATAAAAGATACATTTCAACGATATTGCATATGTGTGTTTGGTACAAAAAGGATCCCTTGAAACAAAAAGAGTAAAATACATTGAATTTATTATTAATTTTTTTCTTTTCTGTTTTTTTTTTTTGTTTTTCGTATTAATATTGAATTGAATTAGAAGAAATAATAATTAACATGTGTATATGTATTTCAGGTTTTTAGAATCGTTAAAGATAATTAGAAAAAAACATTGTATAGCATTTCGAAGGGCATATGAAGCTGGAATACGCAAAGCTTCGCAAGCTGATATGGCTTATGCACAATTTGGGTTTATCGGTTATATATTATTAGGTACCGAACAACTTCATATATCTGCAACTGATGAAGAATTGCAAGGTTTTGTACACTTTTGGCGAGTAATTTGTTATGTCCTTGGAATGGAAGATAAGTGAGTATAAATTATTAATATATTATATTATCTTTTAAACAAATATATGTTCCGTTTTTTTTTTTATTTTTATTTTTTTATTTTTTTTTTCAGATATAATTTGTGCATGGAAACGGTCGAAGAAACTCGTGCCCTTTGTTCTAAAGTTTTGGACGAAGTATTTATACCAAATGTGATTAAGTATAAATACAATTACTATAAAAATGGAAAAATACTGATAGATGGACTTTGGCCCTTTTATCCAATTCTCGATCCACCATCTTTTACCACTTTAACGTTATATGTTACATCGTTGATAACTACCAATAACAATCATTCCATTGAAATAGGTAATATTTGTTATATTTTCTAAATATTCTATATAATTGTTTTAATATTACATTATATATTTTATTTGAATATTTTATGTTTTATCTATGGAGAGTAGAGATAAGGAGTAGTAACATCACTGTATATGAAAAAGTGTCCGTCGAAATGCATTCAATTAGGGTGGCGCCACAGTACCTACAGGGTAAATTTTAATGGAAACGCCAAATATTATTAGAGTAGGATTGAGAAATAAACGAGGAACACAAATTTCACAAGACAAATTTTATCCATAACTGTTCTCGTTATTCACATACTTTTTCATCAAATTAAATGATTAAAAAAATCAATAAACGTACTATTTTACAGTTGACGAATTAAAATCACTCTAGTTACACGTTTTCTCATAATAATTCTTTAAGGTTATATTTACTACATTATTACATAACTCGGCATACTTCAATTCGTTTACAATTGCTATATTCATATCATACCTTCTGTCTACACCAGCGCCATTCTCGAAGGGTTTTTTGAAACTATTATTTATAGAAAAGGCTGGACACTTTCTTTTTCACATTTTCTCCCATAAGAGATGTTGTTACTCCTTACTTCTACCCTTCATAGTTTTATCACAGTACTCTAATGTTTCGTTTTCTTTTTTTTTTTTTTTTTGATTTCAGATTACGACTCTATGCCATTATTCAGCAAAACGTTACTTAATATTCAATTTTTCGTACTTAATTATTTATTGCCAATCAAATATTGGTGGTCAGTTATCTTTCGTACATTTTTTAATTATTCAATGATAGTTACTATATATTTAACCGAACATTTGCCGTTACTTGCTTATTGGACTTATGGTATAAAACATTCGACAATTAATATATTTCGACATAAAGTATCGGAATAGAATCTATCTAATGTTGCAAAATAATATTACTTATATTTATATATAGATAGATAGATTTTTTTACTGCTACATTTTTACTGCTTCCCCGAAGGGTTACATTCCTTTTACAATTATATTCTTAACCTAACTTAACACTACTCTCTCCTTCACTTCTCCCTTCCTCCTTTCCCCTCCACTCATCCCACACCCCCTCCACTCGTCTCACACCCCCACCACTCGCTCTACAGCCCCACTCGTCCCACACCCCCACCACTCGTCTTACACCCCCGCTCCTACCATCCTCACTCCTAACCTTATCCATCCTTCCCCTCTCTCATACTCTCAACCCTCTTCATCCATTCTTCCCCTATTCCACTCTCATCCAAAATCTCTTTTATCTTCTCTTCTATTCCTCTCCCCAGTGCTGTCAGATCGTGGGTAAATCTTACCCTCTCCCTGTGCCACTGGGATTGCACACAATGAAAGTTTTCCATGTCCGTGTGTTTGGGATGTCGAAAGAAGCCGAGTGTAACCGAAGTTGGCGGTTGGCCACGAAGTGGCACACTATGAAAGCGATTCGTGTCCATGTGTTCGGACGACACGAGTCGCTTTCATAGTGTGTCACTCCGGCGTGCCCGCCAACTTCGGTTACACTCGGCTTTCCTCGACATCCCAAACACACGGACATGGAAAACTTTCATTGTGTGCAATCCCAGTGGCACAGGGAGAGGGTAAGATTTACCCACGATCTGACAGCACTGCCTCTCCCGTCCTCCTCAACTATCGTTCTGATGCAACCTTCCAATAAATGTGCTCCCACGTCTTTCTCTCTCTCCCATTCGCACACCCTGCATCTCTCTCCTGTCCTCCTACTCCTCCTCCTCCCAGTTATCTCTCTTCCATATTACTTATATACTTATTCCAATTTAATATTAATTCTCGTAGGTTTGTAATTTTTAAGGTAAACAATTTATTTTGTTAATAATATTTCAACATTGTAAAAACGTTTGACCGAGTGTCAAGTGTCATCACAAAATGTGATATTGGTGTGGAAGAGAAATAATGAAAAAATTCTATTTTAATTCAAATCAAATTAGTCATTAGTATTTTTATAATATAACATGCATATTTGTAATAAACATGTGTAAACATTTTTTTTTCTATTTTTTTTTTTTTAAACTAAATTAGAAAAAGAAGGAAGAAAAACATGAATCAAAAATTAAAGAAATAAAATTCTTTTTTACGATTATATTATATTTAACCAATTAAGCGTGTTTGACGATTATATCATACGTCGTCCTATCCAACAAGTCGGCCTTTTTGACTATCCAATATTTTAACAGAGCGCCACTTACTCTGTGTTTGACGACTATATCCGTCATCGCTTGATTATCGCGACACACACCAGAGCGCGCTATGCACACTTCACGCATCGTTATGTTACTATATTCAAAACAGTACAAAATAGGGACCCTGTAGCTGTGCTGTCAGATCGTGGGTAAATCTTACCCTCTCCCTGTGCCACTGGGATTGCACACAATGAAAGTTATCCATGTCCGTGTGTTCGGGATATCGAAAGAAGTCGAGTGTAACCGAAGTTGGCGGGCACGCCGGAGTGGACCTATGAAAGGGACTCGTGCCCACTCCGGCGTGCCCGCCAACTTCGGTTAAACTCGACTTCTTTCGATATCCGGAACACACGGACATGGATAACTTTCATTGTGTGCAATCCCAGTGGCACAGGGAGAGGGTAAGATTTACCCACGATCTGGGAGCACAGCCCTGTAGGAGGGACGTGCCCAAAGAATTTTGGAGGACAGGAACTCATGTAGTCACGTGATTGCGCGCGAATAAATCAAATATTTTAAATAGTATAAAAGTTGTATATAGTAATAATGAATAGTGTAGGAGGGGGTAGAGTGGTGAATTGGTTTGACAAAATTATGAAATAATGAATTGCATCAAATACAGAAAAACAAAATGAACCATATTTAATGATAATTAACAAATTTATAATTAAAATAGAATAGGTTAGACAAAAATATTATTATCAATTCAAAAAGAATGATTCAATGAAGTTTGATTTGATAAAAGGGCATTACAGTATTTTGAAATTTCAAAACAACTTGTAGAAATTTATACAATTTTCATAAATACAATTATCTACTATATATAGATTACATTTACAATTATTTTAATCATTCATACAAATTTGTTTTTAATTTCTAAATATTAATAAATCAGCTAGAATTCCTGAATATTATATCTTCATAACTAACCACAGCCGTTATTTATACATACTAAAGATAAACATGGCTGTGCGTGCATCGGAAGCTGTCCCCGAAAATTTTCAGCCAATAGCAACCCCAGCAATATGTATGACGCGTCCCTCCTATAGGGTCTCTAAGTCTCCATGATAATAAAACATATAACGATTGTCAAATGTATGTGTATATATATATATTTATTTTTAGAGATAATTATAACCAAAAACCAATTTTCCCACGTATCCTGAGAATCCAATACAAAAGGAACTTAATAATAATAATAATAATAATAATAAAATTGAAGAAGAAGAAGAAGAAAATAGTAAAAAAAAAAATGAATATATACGTTTGAAAAAAATACGTTAGATTTTATACTTTTTCCATTGGAAGAATTGAAAAAAAAAAAAAAACAAAAAGTAATTTCTCAATTTGTGAATAACCATAATATATTTTCTTAGAACAATTTTTCTATGGTATATATATTTTAGTTTTAAAGTAAGTATACGTAGAACGTTGTTTTTAAGATGACCTTGAAAAAAAAATTTCATATTTACGTTTATCCTACGTCATTCTCTCCTAATCTGTTCGTTTTCTTTTAACACAGCTTTTACCAAAAATCGTAACAACAACAAAAAAAAAAAATGAAATCTCTCCTCCTCGTCATATTATAATTTATCAAACGTGAGATTTATTTATTATTTTTTTTTTTTTTGAAGAAAAAAGTAAAAAAAAAAGGAAGAAGATAAACGAAGGATTGATCGAAGAGAAAAAATAAACTCTTTGCGAAAAGATTCGATAAAAATAATCCGAAGGAAGAGTTTAATGTGTGTTTTTTTAATTTTTTTTTCTTCTTCTTCTTTTGAGGTAATTTTGTTTGTTTGTTTTTTTTTTTTTTTTCAATGAAACATTTTCAATCATCTTCCTTTTTCAATTTTGAGGTTATTTTTGTTTTCAATGATACATTTTCAATCATCTTCCTTTTCAATTTCATTTTATTTTATTTTATTTTATTTAATGTAAACCAAACGTTGTGAGTATTTCTTTTATTGCAATTTCATTTTTTAATGTCTGTGCTTTAAAAAAAAAAAAAAATAAAAATAAAATAAAATAAACAAAAACATATGTTCTTATATATGCATACAAATGTAATGTGCATATATATGCAAAGAATGCATGCAACTCTGTGACACACATGCATTTATACGATCCATTAACTACAGTTACGAGTTGACTCAATATATTGACAAAGCCAATAATTATTTTACTGTCTGTATTTTTATAGTAAACAAATACTTATTAAACAGAATTGTTTTCTTTTATGGTTTTTTTTTTGTTTTTTTTTTTTTTATTTAAATATAAAATATTACTAATAATTAATCACACAATTATTATATTACATAACCTCTTTTTTTTTTTATTATAATTAAATATATTATATCTAAGTATTTTTATTATTTATTGCATATATGTATATATTATATCATTAAAAAAAAAAAATATATAATACAAATAAAATGTTAAAATGAATGAAATTCAATTGAACATATTTTCAGATGAAACAAATAATTTGTTATTAAATACGTTCGAGGAATTGCAGTGTTGAATGTCGAATAATTCGTGGAAGAAGTGTAAATGTGGTCGTTTAGATCCGATAATATTTAATAAGAGAATTAATGCAATTGCTTGTAATTGTGGTTGGGAGGGAAGATTCGTTTATGGGGTATCCCTTACCCTAGCAATCTTCGAAATGAAACGTTTTTTCATGCTACTGTTGGAAATAATAGCTGAATGGCAAGTTATACGATTTGCTGGTGGTTTACGTCCAGTTCTTCTCACCTTGCTCGATATTATCGTTGGCTTGCCAACTGCCATATTAATTGTTCGTATAATACGCAAGTATGCAAACAAATATATGATATTTTTTCAAATTTTTCTAACATACATATACACCCTTAATAATAATAATAATAATTAATAATAATTAATTATATTATTATTATTATTATTATTATTATTGTTTTTAGATACACAATACCACAATGTAATATAAAACCGAAAAAACTATTGAAATTTCTCTTATTTATAATAACAACGTGTGTTGTCTTAAACATTGTTACCTTGATTTCAATTGGTTATCACATTAGCGTTAAAAAGGAAACTCTCGTGAATTTATTCAACGCTTCGATGCATTTCTATGCTAACATGGCATCCTACAAATATGCCATAGACGAATTACAATTTGTATTTCAATGTTGCGGCCATAGTTCATATACCGATTGGTTTCTTTTCGATTGGCAGGTAAACATGATATTTCAAGAATAATTAATTTACAAATATATAATGATTATTATAATATAATTAAAATATCTTCTTATACGTGTCACGTTGTTTGTTCGTAATGGACACCCAAACTATTGAACCGATTTTAATCAAATTGTGCACACTGTGTGCAGTTTCATCCAATTTGAAAAATAGGATAGTTTATATCATTCTAACAGATGGCGGTATAAGGTAATTCGTTGACTTAAAGACCTGTGTATCGGACTGATTGTAAATCACAGCAACGTGTGGCGGGACACCTCTAGTAATATATATATATATATATATAATTAATATTGGCTGTACAACTTTGATTCCTCTATTTTCCTACAGATGACTTAAAGAAAAAATGGCGGATACTAAGTTTTATACACCTATATTATAATATAGAATATATAATATATATATATATATATAACCTTTTACAATTATATTTATATTATTATTATAATTTAATGATAATATAATTAAAATATCTTCTTAATATATATGTCTGTATATACACGTGTCACACACACATATTGTTTGTCCGCAATGAATTCCTAAACTACTGAACGTATTTGAATAAAATTGTTCACACTGTGTGCAGTTTCATTCAACTTGAAAGATAAGATAGTTTATATCTCAATTAATAATCGTTTCAGATGGTTGATTATGCACCACGCGACGAAATGATTTATGAGACAAGAATCACCGATGAAGAATACCGCGATCGAGGAGTACCGTTCAGTTGTTGTAGTCTACGTTCAATGACTCCATGTATACATTCCGAGATGTTGGATAAGGATATTAAAAGTATCAATGAGAACGGTTGTGCGGAAGTTATCAGTCCAGTTTTAATTAGGATCGTTGTGATCGCATACGTCATGACTAGCACGTTAATTGTCACACAAGCTCTCTTAGCATATTTGATAGCACGAGTATATAATAAATATCATTTTAAAATGATGAATTATATTAAATTATCGATCGATACGTAATCATTGATTACGTATTATCTTTAATCTACGATTTATATTACATATATATATATATATATGTATTTTGTAGATGATAGATAAACTTTCCGATAGAATTCGATTTCCTGTATCTTCCGTAAGCTCGTTTGATGAATCTACTCATATTCTTTCAAAAAATACTAATAGGTAAGGTATAATAATTTAAACGAATGATTAATAAATTAATTATTATCGGATGAAAATGATATTTTTAGTTTTTTTTTTTTTTGATTAAAAAAGTTTCTAGATTATTTTTCAAGATTCTTTTAATATTATCATACACCATTTTGATTTTCTTTTCTTTTCTTTCTTAATAATTGGATTACACAACAACAAAAAGAATTAATATCTTTATTATTCAATTGATTATAAGTTAATTGCATTTTTTTGTTTTTTTTTTATTTCAGTTTGAGTAAAGGAAGAAAAAACGATCGTTATATTGCCTCGTCAATGAATAAATTATATTCTAAAGATAAAATTAAGTCTGAAGAAGAAGAAGAAGAAGAAAAAAAAAAGGGGATAAAGATAAAACGTTTATCTTCTATAAATAAGAATACATTGACTTTGGAAAGAAGAAGAAGAAGAAGAAGAAGAAGAAGAAAGAAAAATCGAAAAAACAAATTATATTGTTCTACCTTTTATAATAATTCACCGATCGTGGAATATAATAATATGGAAATTTCCGAGATAGCACGAATCATGCCGAGTACTCACGAGGAACATAGGATATCAAGGAAATGTTTGTTTAGTCAAACGAATTCGTTGAATTGTTCAAATTCTGTAATTAAACGAAAATAAGACACGATAAGTTAATAATGAAATGAATTGTGAAAAAGGTAATAGAAAGATCCAATAATAATTGAAAAATAATTAAAAACAAATTAAAAACAAATATTATACTCGGAAGATCTGTTTTGACTGAAATTATTTCAAAATTGACGATTACATCAAACATTTATTTATTATCTATCACGTAAAATATTTCAAAGTAATAAATAATGTAAATGTGTTTACTTTTTTCTTTTTCTTTTTCTTTTTTGTTATAAATGCTCATTTAATGTCAATTTACAAATTGATATTTGTTTGTAGAAGAGAGGAATGATTTCGTCACGTGAATATAATAGGATAGGAAGCAGGGTGTTAACGATCCATGAAGACAAGGTATTGTTTATTACAATTGAAAGTAAAATTGTTTCTTAAAAGGTGGGAACAAAGTATAATCGTTGAGAAAGCGACAGTGGTGGAGGAGGGGAAACTAGTGGATCCCCCTATTTGAATTTCGTAGTCGACACAGCTGGATCTCAGTACGGCGTCAAGCATTGAACGAGAAGTGCTTTGTGAAAACCCCGAATAGGAAAAGGGACTTCTTTTTTTTTTCTTTTTTTAACAAATTGTGCGACAACTCTCGAAACATTTGTTTTTTTCTTTTTCTTTCAATCCTTTTAAGTTATACAGGTATGTATGTAATTTTTGTTCTTTCCTTTTTGTTTTTATTATTATTATCATCAAATTATTGTCCATCTTTTATCCTTATTACAGTAAAACTTTGACAAGTGGATACTTTGAAAAATATTTGTAATATATGGAAACGTTTTGACACCATCTTGCATTTGACCACCTATGATGCACTTGTTTATTTATTTATTTATTAATATATTTATATTTTTTCTTTTGTATATATATTATTTTTTTTTTTTTAATTTGTATATAAATAAGTGGGGAAATTTCTAGTGTTTATTTCTATTGAAGGAATAGGGGATATTTTTAATATACTTAGTGTTATTTTAATAGAACTGTGACGATGCACTCTTGGTTGAATTAGTTGCTTTGTTGAGTTAGTTGCACGACGAAACGACTTGGTCTACGTTTTGCATTACTGAAAGCTCTCCCGTCGCCATAAGACTACGACGACGACAACGACGACGACGATGCTCGAAATATCCTAAGAGTTGCTAAATTTAAAAATCGCAATAAGAACGAGCACAATTCCTTTAACGATAAGAGTATTAAGTTGCATTCTAAAGATCAAAGCATATCCAAATATGGATTAAGAAAGAAATATAATCATAATTTAATTTGAAATAATCAAAAGATAAATCGTATAAACATTTTTTCAAAATAATCCCGCGATTATTTGAATATTCTCATCTCGTACATAAAAGTTAGAATATTTTACTATAAATATTCGTAAAAGTAATAAATAAGAGACTAGAATATTCCTTTGCGGTAAACGCATTAGAATATGAATAAGTAAATAAAAAAAAAAATAAGTCCAAACAAAAAAGAGAGAAAACGGATATATATATATATATTTTAATATAAATTTTAAATTATCCGAGTCAAGGAACATTGTAATAACCTGTTTGAATGTGCGCATGCGCAACGATAAAGTAGGGCCACGGAAGGACAAGTCTCCTCGTAGAATCGCGACTTCGGTTAGATTCGTGAACGTTCGACTTACGTTCGGTCTACGTTCGGTTGGCGTTCGGATAAATTCGTTGGAAAGGATCTCGACGCGCTCCCTACTCTCGTTCGTGCGAAGTTTAGCATCAGTAGTAAAGTATCCGCGCGTTAGTCAACATCGCGTATTCGCTCTTTCCCGCGCAACATCGTGTCGCGTACCCTCTATCTCTTTCCTTCTTTTCATTATTTTCTTTCTATTACTCTTTCCCCCCCCCTCTCTCTCTCTCTCTCTCTCTTTTCCTACTTTTAATTTATTTCTCTCATATATCTTTGTTTATATCTCTATAATATTATTTTTCTTAACAAGTATTAACTTGTCTTCTGTAAGGCCACGCAAATACCGTTCACCCGTCGTAGCATGTGCCCACAAGTTCACAGTCATATACACGTTTATTTACCTCACCATCAGCCCCATAATAAACTTGTCTCTTACGGTTACCGTTAAAAGGATCTCTGATTGGTTTTTTTTTTTTTTTGTTTGTTTTTGATTCACTTGAAAAGAAAGTATTTCAAATAAATTCCATTTCTTTTTATTAACTCACGTTAATATCAAGATAAATAATTATCTTTCTCCGGTTAGAAGAAGTGTGTGTGTTGTGTTGTTAGTTGTTTCAAATCGTGACCAATTTTACATAGTGTATTATTACCAACAACGAAACGAGGAAAAAGGCAGAAAGGAATAAAAAAGAAATAACAGAAAATACGTTATAGTGTGATCTGTAGCATGATTTATTGGATATTCCAGTGAAGGAAACGATATCGTTTACGATTCGTGGAAACGACGCCAACGACGATCGAATTCCTGCACACACGTGTTTTCAAAGTGGCAAATGTGTTTTTCTACTAATATTATTTCCCCATTCATACTTTTTCTCTGTTCATCCTTCTTGTGAAGCATCATTTTTATCTCTCTCTTTTTTTCCTTTACTTTCCATAATCCCTCTCTCTATCTCTCTCTCTCTCTCTTTCTCTACTCGGGTCAGTGTTTATCCTTCTCTTTTTCTCGCATCGTTATTGGTCGAGATAGTGGATTTGTGTTGTTATACGAAAAGAGGGGGAAAGGGAAATAAAAAGAAAATAATACAAGGTGAATTATACATATATATATATATATTTTGGGGGGGAGGAGGGGGAGGGGTAATTGTTATATTATATTGCAAATAAAAATTGTTGTTTTCTTTCGTGAAACGCGATTATGAATTTTGTCGTTATTTTTTTTTTTTTTTTCCACAAGTTTTCCAAACTAACTTCTGGGAGGAAAAGAAGGAAGAGATAAAAGGAAAAACGACACCACAATCACCACCACCACCACCAACAACAACAACAATAATAATTTTGAATCTTCTACTCCAAAAGAAAAAAGAAAACTAAAGAAAAAAAATGAGTTGCTGTATTAGTGCACCGATCGTAACGAAAACTTGCGAGACCCTGCTGAGCAAATGCGAAGTTCCGATTATTGACCTCGGTCATATGGGTAAGTCGTACGCATTTTATTATTCTTTTATTCTTTATTTATTACAATTGGATCAAGATCCATTTCGATACGTTCTGTGTGTCTTTGTGTGTGTGTGTGTGTGTGTGTATCTCTCTCTCTCTCTCTCTCTCTCTACATTTACATCTGCATATTTCCAATCTCGTTCACATGGTATCCTATACACGAGAACCGATTGCACTTCGATTAAACTCGGTTAGTTTCGTTCTCATGCTGCGGTGGTAGTCGGGGAGGAACGTTTCTACAAAACGGCGCGAAACTGTGTCAAATTTGAATTCGTAATAGGTTTCTTCACTCACGACGCGCGTGTAAAAGGATTTTCTCGTTTCTTTTTTCATTTTTTATACGTTTTATCTTTTCGCGTGATGATAATTTATTATAATATATATCTATATATTGCACCTATAGTACGCACATGTAGAAATGTAAATAATTTCTAAATCCCTCGCCTTTGGTTGTAAATCAATCTCTAAAACGTTTTATTGTTATCTCTACATTTGATTTGTATATTAATAAATCTTTTATCAAAAACCGTATCATTTCAAAAAAAAGAAAAGAAAAAGAAGAAAGATAAAAATCATAGAACATTGAAAAAGTATTTTAGATAATATCATTCTTTTTTTTTTTAAAAGACAAGTCACATAAAATCAGTAAAGTATTTATATATATATATACGTTTAAAGCAACTGGTTATATCAGTGAACGAGATGATTTTGTTTTGTGTCTTTTTCTTTTCCCTTTTTTTTCTTTTTCTTTTTTTTTTCTTTTTTTTTTTATTTCTCTTCCTTTTACGTTATCCTTTTTATATCATTTGCATACGACCTGTTCCCTCGTTGGCTACGATGCCGCTACGTGACTCCTTGGATAACATCTGTTGTATATACATATATATATATATATATATATTACAAAGAATATAGGAATTTTGGTTATATCAAAGAAAAAAAAAAGAAACTAATATCTATTTATATTTATTTAATTATAAAATATGGTAGCACCTTTTTTCTCTTTTTTTTTTCTCAAAAAAAAAAAAAAACAGGATGTTATTAACATTCATTATATATTTCAAAATTATACTGGATAAAAATTCCCCTTAAATATTATGAATATAAATAATAATTGTAATAATAATAAAAAAAAATATAAATAAAACTAAAAAATTCCATCCCCCCTCCTACCTCCAAAAAAATTGTTAATTAATAATTTGTAATAGAAAATATGTGAGAAATATATATCGATGTTAGGAAGAAGTTTGAAGTAATGGAGGGGGAGGGGGAAGGGGGGAGGGAGGAAGGATAAAAGGGACGCACGCCTAGTTCGTTTTATGGTTGCTTGGCAACGAGGTCAGGCAAGCTGCCAAAGAACGAAGAAAGCGAACGACATGCAAGCGAAATAAAACGAAGCCAACAGTTTTGCTTCGTTCGTCTTCGTTCGTTCGTTCGTTCGTTCGTTTTGTTTCGTTTCATTTCGTTTCGTTTCGTTCGTTTTGAAGCAAGAAAGAAGAACCTGAGAAAGCAAGTTGCTCAGAGAGTATATATATATATATATATATATATATGTGTGGTAGTTGGAGGCGCCTACCTCGAACTCGACGAGCCATCGAGGTCAGAGCCCCCTTTCACAAAGAAGGGCGGACGGGACCCTCCCTTGACGCCCTCGAACCTTTATATAGGGTGTTCCCTTTGTATTACTTCCAACAAACTCAATCCCTATCACTATTTCATAAATCACTGCTTATAGTTTCTTTTTTTTATTAGTTAGTTCTTGTTTTTGGTTAGTTCTTTTTTACTAGTTCCCTTTTTTTTGTTATTCACTAGATTTGTTTTATATTTCTTTTCTTTTTTTTTTTTCCCCCAATCAATTTTATAATTAACAATTGTATATAATATGCAATATGATTTGTAATATCATTATGTTTCCTGTAATATATTTCATATTAATATTTTTATATAAGGGTTCTTCTAGTTCCTTTTTTTTTTTTTTTTTTTTTTTTTTTTAGTTATTTCATTTTAAAGTTTCTCGTTAAATTTTTATATTTATTTGAAAATAATAAAGTCGTTTAATATATAAAATCTAAGAAATTCGAAATATAATATAATACACGTTTTATTCTATTTATTACAGTATTTTTTTTATAGAGGTTATTCTAGTTTATTTTTTTAGTTATTTTATTTATTATAATATATATATATATAGTAATATTTTATTATTACTATAGAAATAAATTGATTTTCAATTGAAATTACATTTTATTTTGCTTATCAAATTCTTTTCAAATGATAAATCAATTTTACATTTCAATCTTTGTAAAAAAAAAAAAAAAAAACACCGCATAAATTTCAAATCATTTTTTATTTGATTTGATTTATCGCAGTATATACAAGCACATTCTAGGGGAAAAAAAGAAAAAAAGAATCTATTATTTTAACCCCTGTTAGATATATAAGATCATTTTTGTATAGATAGAAAGATAAAATTAGGTTAAAGTGTATTAAATAGATTCACAATATCAATCATTTAGATTTGATTTATTCATTCGAATAGGAAACTAGACAGATATAATGGTAAATAAACTAGTTACTCTTTATAGATCATAATATACAAAACCTTGTTTGTATTTTTTTTTCTTTTTTTTTTTTTTTTTTAATCTTCAAGATAATAACAGCCAATTTTATTGTTACGAGTTTTAACTGTATAATTGCAATAGCTAAAGAAAAACAATGCTATTAGGGTAACCAATGAATAAACAATATTAAACACTAGATCCCACCTAACATAAAAACATTTCTTGAAAAGGTTTAAACTTTTTTAAAAAAATTTCTAAAAAAAAATCTTTCTACAAGATGAAAATGTCCGCGTTCAGAGACTTGCAATTGATTGACTCTCTATCAATAAAATATATTTTAGAAAAGGTTTTAAATAATTCTACTGTACAAACAATTTATGAATCTTTTTGAAAATATTTTTAGAATGATGTCTGCACAGATTTTTGAATGATTTTTTTTTTTTTTTGGGGAAATATTTTACAAAACTTTCGCTGAAAGATTTCAAAACTTATCGTGTTATGTGGGATATAGTGGGATATAGCCGCCATTTTCTTCAGTATACCTATTTCTACCACCACCACACTAGTCAAAATGACTGGTGTATTAAAAAAAAAATTCTTTTAAATTCTTTTAAAATAATCATTTTAATTAGAATTTAATTTATAAACATTTTTTTCAATAACAAAACACTTAATTATTTACAAATATCAAATGTTACGTGAAGAATAGAAATTTGGAATTAAAATGGGCTTGACCAATCAAAATGACTGGTCTCTGATATATCTAGTGTTAAGAACAAGAGAACATTTCTTTTCTAATTCAATTGAAATAACAAATTAATCATAATGTGTTATTATTATTATTATTATTATAAAATTTCTTTTTATCCCCATTGTCCCTTTTTTAATTTTATATTTGAAAAAAAAAGATTAAAAAAAAAAAAAGAAAAATACATAAAAAGGTTATAAAAATGTGAACAAAAAAGAAAATGAATGGAATTTAAACCGGATAAAGTAATTAATTAAATGATAAAATAAAAAAGAAAGAAATAGTTAATTGTGCAACACTCATTTAAAAGAAATGATACAAATGTGTGTGTGTATATATACATATATATGTGTATATAGGAAGAGTACATAAAGAAAGAAAGAAAGAGTTAGTCAGATGTATATATAAATGTGTGTACACATATCACACATACATATACAAAAGTATATAGAATGGTACATAGAAAAAGGCATGTGATGTACGTGCGTCACGCATCGTCAACATTGTAAGATATCACGTATCATGACTATTTCCTTTGTGTGTTGCCGATTCTGACCATGGTGTGTACTTTGGGTTAGTTTGTTTAAAAAGATTCAATGAAAAAAATAAGATATCGTTTTTTTTTTTTTCATGGAATAACTTTATAAAATTATTTCATAAAAATCATCCAAATTTTAAATATATAATTCTAATTGTTTTAACACGTTCATGCCGGCGTGTACCACCGGTGGCCCACAATAGACTGTCTCATCGAGCGGCGTGTACCACCGGTGGCCCACAATAGACTGTCTCATCGGGCGGCGTGTACCACCGGTGGCCCACAATAGACTGTCTCATCGGGCGGCTTGTACCACCGGTGGTCCACCTTGGTCCAGGTTTAAACAAGCAAAAATCACGCGCCGCCAGATGAAGCGCATCTTAGATTCGAGTGAGTGCCGTCCCACAGCGCAGACACTGAAGATCGACGTTGGCGTCAACGTGTTAAAGTGCACTGTGGATGTTTGACACCCCAACGTGTGTTTGAACGCGTCTTCTGAAGCCGCTGTTTAATATTTAGACCTCGCAATTTATTTCAAAATAGTTGGATACATTTTTTCTTTTTAAATAGAATAGGTTTTATACCCATCTGAATGAAGAAGTCACTAGATGGCACTAGACAAATAACCCATTTTTTTTTTCGAATTCAGTACCATTTTCGAGAGATCACAAATTTGTTGTTGGGGTGTCAACCATCACCCCATGTGCACTTTAAGGTTTAATCTGTTTATTTTTATTTATTTATTTATTTATTATTATTATTATTATTATTATTATTAATATTATAATTCAAGACAATTATATATAAATAATAACAGTAAATAGATTTGATTGATCTTTTTTTTTTTGTTTGTTTGTTTATTTTTATTATAATCTAATATGATTATATATAAATAAAAAAATAAAAGTAAGTACGTTACAGTGAATTATTTATTCGATTTAGGGAAGGAGGAGTAGAAACACGTATATATGATCTGATAAATCCTGTAAGTTGACCGAACAAGTATAATCCAAAACTGGTATTGTCCCCCCCAGTCAAACCGGTATATGTATGCGAATTTTTCTATACACATCAGTTATAACGTCCAACCATTTATTTTCATACTTGTCCCTACTACATTTCTCTTTTTT